CCACGTCCGGTCCCCTGCCCAGGCCAGTCCCTGGAGCTGAGCATCTGTAACTACAGAGCGACCAAACTCCTTGTGGCCCAGCCCCGCCCCTGGCTTGGTCACACCCTGGCCAGGTCCTGGCCCCTCCTCTGTCCTGTCCATCCTGAGGGACCCCAGGCTCAAGGCACCCACTCCTCCCTGGGCCCTCACTAAGCCAATGAAAAACCAGGTGACATTGGGAGTGGCTGTCAGGCATGAGAAAGAGGGAAGGTGGCAGGCGGTGGCCGGGCCTGGTAGGGCCCTGACCCCGGGCTCTCAGGGTGCCCTTTGCTGCTGCCACGTCTCTTCAGTTCTTCACCAGGGTAGGGGGCCTGGTGACCAGCAGGGTGGGGTGGGGCACTCAGGCCAGAGCTGTGGACATCAGGCTTTGCTGTCCCACCCCGACCCTCTGGGTGCCCTTGGCAGGGCCGAGGTGGCTGTACACATCTTCCTGCCTCCATATGTCCCCCCCAGTCCGTGGACAGGGCCGGCGAGGAGGAGGGGTGGGGTGGGGGTCACGCCGGCACCCCCAGGGACTGTCCTGTGTGCAGACGCTGCGGGAGGTCACGGACCAGGAGCACAACATTGCAGCACTGAAGCAGGCCATTAAGGACAAGGAGGCACCTCTGAAGGTGGCCCAGACCCGTCTGTATCAGCGCTCACACAGGCCCAACGTGGAGCTGTGCCGGGACGCCGCCCAGTTCAGGTGCCGCAGTGGCTGTGGTCCCCGGGGCGGTCCTGAGCGGGACAGCTCACCACCCACCCTCCGTGCCGGACCCGACCCCCGCCCCCCTGCCAGCCGGGCCTCCCTTGGCCTCTGGGCCCCATGAACACCCCGCTCCCCGCAGCCTGCGGGCCTGTCTCGTAGACACACAGGCTTGCACACGGAGCTGTCCCCACGCCCCATCCCCGCCCAGCATGACTATACACGGATGTGCCTTTCGGGCACTAAGTGTCAGGGACAGCGTAGCTCTTCCTGCTTCACCCCGTGCTGCACAATCATCCCTGAAAGGGATCTCGGGGTCTGAGAGGCTGAGCTGCTGAGACCCCCGGCTGCCCTGCCCACACCACCTTGGGCACACCATCCAGACCCCCGACAGCACGAGTGGCCCCGGCCCTGGCTCAAAGCCAAGGTGGGATCGTGTCCCTAGTGTTCCTGACTTACCGAGTATCAGCTGCCCTCGTCAGCAGAATACCCCTGCCCGGCATTCTTCCCTCCTGCCCTCAGCACGCCCCGGGGACTGGGGCCTTGTGCAGGGCCAGGGGTCCGTCCAGCCAGCCTCCAGGCCCCAGGAATAAAGGGAACCGGGAGCCTCAGCGCACCCCTGGCATTGCGTAGAATTGCTGCATGGTGTCACTGCACTCAGCCCTGCAGAGCCCTGCCCATGCGGGATTTCCCCTCCAGCCGGGGGGCGGGGCAGGCCAGGAGAAGTCCCAGCTCAGGCCCAGCGCTGTGGCCCTGCGGGCACGCTACACACCCTCTCCCACATGCCGTAGGGCCTGTGTGGTGTCCTGGCCCAGCCCACTCCACGTGGCTGGCAGGTTTCCCTTTGGGACTTTTGGGTCCTCTTACGGCCCTGCAGCTTGGCCTGGACCCCTCATCAGGGCTCCTGGGCCTTGCCCGTCCCAGGCGGGGGCCCCAGCTCACACCTCCCTCCCCCCGCCCCACAGGTTGGTGAGCGAGGTGGAGGAGCTGAACATGTCCCTTGTGGCACTGAAGGAGAAGCTTCTAGAAGCAGAGCAGTCTCTGCGCAACCTGGAGGACACGTGCATGAACCTGGAGAAGGACCTGGCCGTCAAGACCAACAGCCTCTTCATCGACCGCCAGAAGTGCATGACCCACCGTGCCCGCTACCCCACCATCCTCCAGCTGGCTGGCTACCAGTGACCGGGGCTGGCACCACGGCGTGTGCCCCTCAAATAAAGAGCATGTTAACTTTCTACTTGTCCATGTGGTTCTGGGTGGAGTCCAGATGCTGCAGCCTGGGCAGGTGGGCTTGATCTACAGACCCACCCGGCCAGGCCGGTGGGAGGTGGGGGCTCAGAGCCTTTGCCAGGGCCGTCCTTGCTGCCTGGGCGGCCCCGGTTACCACCTGGAGAGGATTGTAGAGGCCCCTGCATTGTGCACCTCGGACCAGTGGCCTGGCCCCCCAGGAGCTCTGAGCCCGCGGAGGCTCAGATGGGGGCCCTCTGCCCTCCTGAGCCGCCTGCAGGACCCTGCGGAGGAAGTGTCCCCTCCTGCCGCCACAGAAGCCACAGCACTTGTCACTCCAGCAATGACCAGAGCCCCAGCTTTTTCCTCCGTGTGCCCTGGACACTGTCCCCGTGCAACTGGCCGGCTCTGCCCCAAGGGACTGGGCCCAGGGTTGCGGGCATCCATGCAGTGCCCCAAAGCTCCTGCAGGGCGCCAGGCAGGGCCTGGGACAGTGAGTGGGCAGAAGACCCGTGGGGCCTCTCCCTGCCACCTCCACCTGGCCCTGGGTGGGCACCCAGGGGGACAGATGCCTGGGGACCCTGAGCCGGGGGAGCCCTGCTCTCCTAGCCACCTTGGTCACCTTGGGTAGCCAGTGTCCTGTCCAGCCTCTTCTTAACCAGTGGGTGAGTCGGGCTGAGGTACGGTGGGTAGAGGGTTCCCAGTGCCCACCTGGCCACGCACCATCCCTCGCCCTGTGTCCAAGGCTCTGTGTCAGGGCTCCGTGCAAGGAGGCCTCTGTCACTGTCCCCACCCCACCCTCGACAGACAGCTCCCGGTCACTGTCTGCCCGCCCAGGGCAGCTCATCAACAGGACTCAGGGGAGCGTCCGTCCCGCCGCTGGGAGCTGTTAACTCCCTCTGCGTGCGCTTGGGCCACTCGGCCCCATCGTAGCTAGGGCGGAGGCAGCGTCCCTTGTGCAGAGGGCCTTCTCGTCCAGCCCCCCGCCCCCGGTGGCGGCGGCTGGGATCTGAAGGGCGAGGTGGGGGCAGAGCACAGCTCATTGTCTCGGGTGGGCTGGAGGCCCCGGGCTGGGAGGGCACAGCACAGTCCCCGGAGGCTGCACGCTCACTGTCTGTGGCTGTCTCATGGCTGTCTGTGAGCTGGAAAGTTTGTCCTCTTGTGGAGACAGACCACCAGGCCGTGGAACTGAGGGACGGCTTCCTGGAATCCCGACCCCCACCGCCTGGCCAGGCTCCTGGGAAAGGTGAGGCCACGATGCAGCCCGGGGGTCTCCAGCAGCCTTGGACACCTTGACCCTGCTGGGCTCACGGTGGCGCAGCTGTGGACCTGGGGCCCTGAGGCCACCGGGGTCCTGGGGAGAGGGAGCAGGGTCATGTCAGGCCACCAGAGCGGTAGGAGGGGTGCTGTCAACCCTGGGCCCGCACTTCAGTCTCCATCTGGAGAGGGGATCCCAGGACGCTGGGGGGTGGGCTGGGGCGGGGCAAGCGTGGTGGGGGGGGGGGGAGGGGAATGTTCAGGGGCTGCAGTGTCGCCCCCTCCCCGCTCCCCCTGCAAGCCCCTGATGCCCCAGAGCTGCCCCAGCACAGCTGGGTTACCCCTGGCTTCCTTGGGTTTCCCTGTCTGTGGAGCTCTCCAGCCTGGCCCCACGGTCACTCTCACGGTGAGTGAGTGAGCCCGCATGGTGCCCGTTTCCAGAGCCTGCATCCAGGCCTCCCAGGACCCCCTGCATTGCCCCCTTTGGTGAAGTCTGTGGTAACAGGCACCTGGCCTACTCCCCGGACCCCCATCTAGGACTGCTGCTGCGCTGGAGGCCGTGGGGCATCTGGTCCCCCCTGCCCAGGCTCGAGTCAACGGTCAGTGTGGCCTTCCTGGGCTGCAGCGGGCTGGAGACAGGGAGGGAGCCCAGCCCCCCTGCGGCTGATGCTGTGGCCCTCTGTGGGCCGCGACCCGCGGGGCCGTGACGCTCAGCCACGCTCCTGTTGTCACGGAGATGTGAGGCGGCGTGTCTAAGAAAGGCTATTTCTGTCCAGGTCCTCCCGCCACCTGCTGAGTCACCCTCAGCCCCTGCTGACCACCTGCACCCAAGCAAACACTCTGCAGCCGGGGGCCCACCCACCCAGACCGCAGGGACCCCAGGGCCCCTTCCAGCCCCTTCACCCCACACCTGCCCCTCTTGAGGAGGCGCCCCCCACATACAGGGCAAATTTAGCTCACTGTCCCCTCCCCCAGGGAAGTACAGTGACGGCCCATCTCCCGGGGTTGGGGCAGCTCTGCTTGCTGGTGTCAGGGGAGGCGCAGAGCAAGGGACATTGGGGCCCTGCAGCGTGGCCAGAGTCTGCCAAGACTCCCAGTGGCTAGGCTCTTCCTGCTTCCGTCCACCACAGGGGACGCCCCCAGCCCCTCTGAGCCCATCGATGTTCATTTTACAGGTCAGTAAACTGAGGCTTGGACCCAGAGAGCAGCAGAGCTCAGGCCACAGAGGCCATAGGGGTACTTCCAGAGAGGCCCCCCGACCTGCCCTGGGCCCACCGGCCCCCCCAGGGATGCCGTGCTGGGAAGTAGGCGCTGCCTCATGCGCCCCCCCGAGTGGCTCCAGCGAAGCCGCCTGGTCTCAGAGCCAAGCCCGCACCCGGCATGCGCTGACAAGGTGTGGGGACATGCGGAGCTGGTGAGTCGGGGCACAGGGCCTCGGGCTTCACCCCTCCTCCATCAGTGCCCCCTGCAGACGCGGGGCGGTGAAGACAGCCGTGCCCAAAGTGGGGGACTGGGCTGTCTGCTGCGGTGTGAGCCGGGAGCTCCAGGGCTCGGCTCCAGCTGGTGCGGCCCTGCCCGCGGCCCTCACACCTCGTGCCCCCTCAGCCTGGCCAGGGAAGCCCCCACAGGTGGGGCCACTCCTGTCTCCCTCTCCTCCATCCAGGACCCTCCCTGGTCATCAGTCCCCCAGGCCATGTCTGCTGCCTCCCCCACAGGCTGCTGGCTTGGGTAGGGGGGATGCTTACCAGGGAATCACATGTCCTCACATCCAGAGGCCAAGGCGCCGGGCCCAGTCCCTGGGCCCAGTGTCTAGCTGTGCAGACCCAGAGCAGGGACAAGGCCAGGCTCTGGTGTGGGCTCGGCTTTGGCTTGCAGTGGGCACAGCCCCTTCCTGCACTCCTCGGGGGGAGGGGGGCACTCACAGGGTCCGCCCTTTATCTTCCAAAAGGCTGGGCTAAGGCCGAGGAACCCCCATGGGGGGTCACGGCACATCTGCCCTGCTGGACACCGGAACCCTGGGATGGCACAGAGGGAGGTGGGGGCAGACATTGGCCAGAGACGGGAGGGTATCCCTGTCACCGGCTGGGCCTGGTGCAGGCATGGTGGCCCTGGTCTGTGCCCCCCCCACGTTGGCCTCCAGCCCCTCACCAGACTCCGCCCAGTCTCAGCTCCGGCCTGCCTCCCTGCCAAGTGTCTGCACCCCAGATGGAGGACAATGGCCAGCCCACAGAGCTGTCCCCCGACTCGCCAGTCCCAGACACCCCAAGCCCCCAGACCCCCAGACCCATGCCATGGCACAGGGGCTGGCAGGAGGACCCTGGGGCCCCCATGGCAGGGCCGCGTGGCCCCTGCGGCGGAGGGCAGGCCGGGGGGCGGGAGGCAAAGCCCCGCGCGGTGCCGGCCCAGGAGCTCTGAAGCTGGCTCAAGGCTTGTTGGTCTTGGATGGTCCAGGGGAAGCCGTGGGCACCTGGGGTGGGCATGAAAGGGCTCTTTCACGGGCCTTCAGGGCAGTGACCCCGGAGACAGCCAGGCAGGCAGCGGCGCCCGACTGCGTAATGGTAACAAGGGATATGGGGGTGGGTAGGGGGTCCTCACAGGCACCCCGGGCAGGCTGGGCTTGGAGGGGGTCGTCTGTGCTTCCCTCCAGGCCTCAGAAGGAGGGAGGCTCCAGCCCAGACCATCTGCTGGGCAGGCCCAGGGGGCCACAATGCTGGAGACCCCAGGCACAGGCCTGCCTTTGGAGTGAGATCCCCCAGAGGGTCCTGTCAGGTCCCTCCACGGGAGGAATCCAAGGGTCCAGCGCAGCCAGGAGGGCAGGTCAGGGTCTGCTGGGCTCCGAGGGGTGAGGTGGTAAACAGAAGGGATCTCCCCTCCAGGAAAGCTCAACCTGAGAGTGGGTCGCACCCCCACCATGCAAGAGGAAGAAACGCATCCTGGGCTGCAGTCCCCGAGGGCTTCCTGGAGGAAGGTCCTGTGTCTTTTCTCAGCAGGACTGCATGACAGGGAAGAGCGAGGACCCCGAACTCACACTCCTGCCCTTATAGGAGATCTGCCCTGGCTGAGCGTCCCGGATGCATCCAGGGGAAGCACGGATGGGCCAGGTGTCAGGCAGGGTCTCCTGGGGGAGGGGAGGCAGAAGCAGGAGGCCCAGGCCTGGTGGGGATTAAAGACCAGTTTTTCCACCCTGGGGAGCCTCCCAAGTTGCTTTCCCTCCTCTGGCAGCTCAGGGGGGTACCACCCTCTGCCCAGCTAGGCAGCTGGGGAGAAACTGCCTCGTGGAGGGTGCCACCCAACCCGGGCCCGGAGCCCAGCCTCCCGGCGCTGGGGCCCTGCCCTTCCCTGAAGCAGCCCAGCTGCCCCTCCCTGAGGGCTCCGCTGGCCACTGGTGGGTGGGGGCCTTGGGGAGCTGAATCAGAGCCCATCCCCCCATGACGGCTCCCCCTGAATCTGCCAGGTGCGGGGTCCCCAGCTGTGGGGGCTGCAGGCTATTAGGGTACGTGCTACAGCCCTGAGCCAAGGCTGCAGGGAGGGGTGGGGAGGGGTGAGAAGGAGCCTGGAAACTCCGGCTGGGACAGCATGGGGCTGCCTTGGTCACCTTTGCGGGGGGCTCCGGAGGGGCAGGTGCGAGCTGTCCCCCGTGCTGGCCCCTGCAGTGCTGCGTTGAGGAGGATTCAGAGGCCACATCCAGGTGAAAGTGTGCAGGGATCCATTAATGATATCCGTCAGGGGCAGG